ACTCCTCCATGGTCCATACTCTTTACTATTTTTTTAAGTGGGATCATCTTGAACTACTCTTCAGAGTCCCAGATGGTCATGAACTGGTCTCTAAAATATCTCATACACTAAAAAGAAAAAGTAAAAGATTTTATGTTCCTCATGAACACTACTTTTCTGACCATGACTTTCTCCATCTCAGTTGATGGTGCTTTCATACCTTCAGTACTAAATCCAAACCTTCACATCATCTCTGATTCTTACCTCTCTCTACGATCCTCAAAATAAGAAAATCCAGGTGGCCACACCTATAACCCTGATCCATATGCAACTGCTTCTTCCACACCCACAGGCACCACTGTGCTCCAGGTACCCTCACACTCACCAGCACTATCACAGCAGATTCCGTCCTGGGCCTCCTACCACCGTCCTCACACCCATCCTGTGCATCAGGCTGCAGCCACAGGGAGTCTAATGAGACCTGGGACAGGTCACCTGCTCTACTGCTCCCATGACCCCAATGACCCCATCGCCAGCAGAACAGAAAACCAAGTGGTCACAAAGCTCCTCTGCACTTGGTTCCTGTCCCACTGTTTCCAGTTCCTGTTTTTGTTTTTTTTAAAATATGTTTTATTGATTTTCTACAGAGAGGAAGGGAGAGGGATAGAGAGTCAGAAACATCGATGAGAGAGAAACACCGATCAGCTGCCTCCCGCACGCCCCCCCCACTGGGGATGTGCCCGCAACCAAGGCACATGCCCCTGACCGGAATCGAACCCCGGACCCTTGAGTCCGCAGGCCGACGCTCTATCCACTGAGCCAAACCGGCTCTGGCTCCAGTTCCTATTTTTAAAAAATGGACCCCTACCTGCTCGTCCCTGAATCAGCGTTAGACTTCACTCCAGGCCTTTGCACATTCTGGAGCCCATGGGCGGAAGGAACCTGGTCACACACACATTTCACCTGGCTGGCCAAAACCAGCTGGCCACCTCATCTTGAACCTTGACCTGGGCCCTAAGATTCTGGGGCCTTGGGTGGTCCTTCAAAGGTCCCCCAGTTCCAAGGGTCCCCCAAGAAAGAGGGGCCCGAGGAGCCCCACGGGCCACCACCGACCCTCAGAAGGCCAGGATTAGTGTTGAAGGCCCTTGACCAGGAGCCCCCAACAGGCCCCGTCCCCTCAGGCGGGTTCTGCACCCGCAGGAACCGGTTGGGAACTAAAGGGCTGAGGGCCGGGCACCCCACCCCAGGAACCCAGGGGCTCCGGCTGCTCAGGGCCCTGGACCCGCCCCGGGCCGGTGATGCCCGCCGGCCCTCGGGGCTCAAAGGTCCCTCTTTGCTCACAACAACCCCCGGCCCCGGCGCCCGGAGCAGGAAGTGAACCTCCCCCCGGACCCGCCGCTCGTCCTCTCCGTCGCCTTTAGACACAAACCAGGCCTGGGTGCCCCCTCCCGGCTCAGCCCCCCACGGCCTCCCCCGGCGGCCCCGCAGCCCGGCGCCCTCCCTCCCCTCACACCCCGGGGCCCACGAGGACTCACTGCGCTGGACGCTGCGCCCTGGGCGGCGGGACCCGAGCGGCGCCGCCCCGAGGCTGGACGGTCCGATGGGGTGAGGCCGAGGGAACTCTGTCGGCGGAGAGGGTCGGGGAGCCTCGGACCCCCCAAAATCGAAGGTGGCGGCGCCACAGGCTCAGACACACCCTGCCCCGCGGGGCGCCGCCTCCCCGTCCCCTCCTCCTCCCGATGGACGCGCAGAATCCGGGAGCCGGCGAACAGTTTGAAAAAGTCAAAATGTCCACCGGGAAGAAGACTCCGGAAGTCCCGCCCTATTCGTAGGCACTGGAACCAAAACGCCCTACGTGTGCGCAGTGCATTCTGGGTAATGTAGTTTTCTCAGCCGCCCAGGAGAGGGCTGGCTTTCCAGCCCAGGAACTTGGGGAACAAGGTGATGTTGCGCTGCCAGGGGCGCTGGGGGAGGAGATGGGACCAGAGGCCAGTTCACGGGGACAGACTGGCCCCCCAGGGGAGGGGGGGGGATGGAGAATTCCTGAGATGGGCTCTCTAGGTGAGACTCCACAAAATAAAATGTGTTGTTACCTAAAAGGAACAAATCACATTTCTGTAATTAGGCTGATGGGAACAAAATAATTTTTAGAAATGTGGACCGACAATAATATAACTAAGTGGTCATTTTCATTTATAATCATACTACAGGCCTGGTGTATGGGATTCGTGCACTGGTGAGGCATGGCCTGCGGGGATTGGCCCACTGTGAGAGTGCTGCTCATATCCGTCAGCCAAGTGGTGCTCCCACTGTTGGAGCACACTGACCGGTGGGGGGCAGCTCCTGCGTTGAGCTTCTGCCCCCTGGTGGTCAGTGAGTGTCAGAGCAACTGGTCAACCAGTTGTTCTGGTTGTTCAACCATTTGGTCAATGGGCTTTTATTATATACGATAGGAACTGTGTGTTGAACAGAAGCTCGCCCGAACAGCCATTTATTTCCAGGGGCCACATCAGTGGGGCGACTGTGGAACTGAGTGGCCTAGACTCAGCTCTCACACCCGGTACAGACTCTCAGCCCCAGGTCTTCCTTGTTAAGGAATCGGGCTCAGCCAAGTCCCACACCTGTCAGCAGGTGCACTTCTCCCTCCAGGCTAGGCTGTACCGTCAGTCACTCTCGCACCACGTGTACAACAGATGGGGGCACTTTTAGGTTTATGTTGTGTTCTTCTCTGATTTTATGCTACTGAGTTGGTGCTGCTGCTAATACAGTGACCTGCTGATGGCAAAGAGTCACTTGCTTAGCTCAGCGGCTTGAGTGGGCACTACTTAAAGCTCTCCAAACAGACAGGGCCTGCCTGGGCAGTGCTGATGCCCAGGTTGTGGGCTCCATCCCTAGGGGTGGCCTGGGGGGGGCAGCCAATCCATGATTCTCTTTCATTGATGTTTCTATCTCTCCCTATCCCTTCCACCCTGAGTTCAATATACACTGCGTGGCCAGATTATTATGACCATCCCATCAGTACTCCATTGACACTTCCAAAAATACTGAATATTGAAAACTTCCTAAGCAAATACTCTCAAGGTTTTATTATTATTATTTACATAACTAATTCACTTAATTGTACTGATGGGGTGGTCATAATAATCTGGCCACTCAGTGTGAGGTGAGCTCTGACTTGGGAGTCCCTAAGGCCTTTCTAAGACATGTTAAACCTGCTCAGGGGCCATAGATCTGCCCAGCACCCTATCATTTGCTTTACAGCCCTGTGCTGTGTGTCACTTTGCTCAGACTCCACTCAGAGTCCTTGGGTGTCTTCATCACGTCCTAGGCCACTGGGTCAGAGTGTCTCTTAGTGGCTGCAGGTCTCCCAGCTGCGCCCTTTGCTGGAGTCCCTTCTGTGCAGCTGTGCTCTAGGAAGTGAGCAGTGCATGGGAGCCCTTCATCCTGGGGGAATGAGGGTACATGCATAGGGGCGGGGCCTGCCCAGAAGGTGCGCCAGGGCGCATGCTCTCCCCCAACCCCCTTCCTGCACTAGGACCGTGGACACCTCTCAGAAGTGCCTGGAGGAGCTGCTGGGGAGAACATGGTCCTCGAGGCTTCACAGGTCCAGAGGATGAACCAGCCCCCCCACCTGAGCTGGGAGCTGGAGCAGCTGTCAGAAGGTAGGCAGCAGCCCCTGGCTCTGGGGAGCCAGCCTGGCTGCGGCATCTCTCTCACCCAGGAAGCTCAGCCCTGGGCTCTGAATCTCCTGGGTCAGCCCATCCTCAGCCAAGTCAACAGGGTGTTATTCAGGGGCCATTTGGGCAGTTCCATTGCCATTCTCCCCACAGAGAATGTGAAAGGTCCGGCAGCCTGGATGAAAGAATAACATTTAATGTGAAGTGTTGTCAGATTTCTCAGCGGAAATGCGGGGATGGCAAAATGACTTCCAGATGACAGCACGCTGACCCCAGAGGCTGCCTTCGATCTGTGATCGAATTGGAGGGAATAGGCGTATAAATAATCATTAAAAGTGCTCACTGACCTCCGTTCTAATAGCAGCCTGGGCTGATTCCCTCTGTTCATGTCATAATCAGACAGAAGGGTTCAGTCTGCTTGTCTTCCTGGGCAAGGAGCTGCTAACTGTCTTGCTTCTCAGGCCTCTCCATCTCATTCTTCATGTGTGGGGCCCCTCCTAA